AAATTTTAACTTATGGTACATAATGTAAACATGTGGCTAAATAATAAAAATTCATCGCAAAATTTCAAAGTTTCTTTTTATTTTATTATTTTTAAAAATTCATGAAATATTTTAATTTTTATACGTTCGTCTTCCATACAAAAACAAAAAAAAAAAATGCATAAACGAAAAAATTTAAATTATGAAAATTTTATTACAATTTTTTATTATTATAATATTAAATTCATTGTATGTTTATACTACATTATATTATTCATATTTCGCTGAAGATTTAAACCAAAACACCCAACTTCTTCACAATTTTCAACTATAATATAATATTAAATTTTAATGCAACCAACTGATACTAGCGGGTGTTGCATACATAACATTTGTGGCTGTTTAAAATGTGTTTTAATTATTGCTTAATTCTGTTCTGGCATTGGAAAATGTTGTAATATTATAGTATAAAATTGCTTAAAATGGTATTTATCCTCTTTCTGTTTAAAAGATTTAGCTTTTTTTCTGCTAATAGGCAATAATTTTCGGGTATTGTTCCTAGGATTTCATTTACATTTCTGAATTTTTCTAATAAATTAATAAATTTTATAATCAACACATAAAAAATATTTTCAATTATAGTTTTCAGAAAAATAATTCAAAAAGTGGCGAAAATAATTCAAATTTGTGAATAAAAAAAATCCGGTACTATTTCTCACACATTCCATTCCATTCCCATGTTTGATTAAAAAATTTATTAAAATTAAGCAGGGTCCTATTAAAGTTTTTACTTTTTTTTAATTAATTAACTGAAAGTCTGTATAATTTTTGTGGCATCAAAAATCGAAACACTATAATGAACTGTGCCAATAAAGAGTTGTCAAAAGTAAAAGTAGAAGAGGTTGGTGCACTAGAGCCTAAAATATGTAAGAAATTTTGTAGAAATACAAAATATGTGTACCGTAATTATGCGACACTCTGTACACATACATCTTTGTAGCTCATTTCTTTATCATCTTTTCTTTTTCTATTCATACTTATAGTAATCTTCTCATTATAACAATCATCTTCATTAAATATTCATAACACGAATTCAAGAAAAAAAAACTTTCAAAAAATGAATAAAAGAAGCTTTTCTTAACTTTATTAAATTATATATAAAGCATCTATTTATACATACATACATACATACTATAATATATGTATGTATATTGGAAAAGACAATAAATTATGTATATAGTATAAGAAATGAAATGAAAATGTAGAACAAAAAAAAAAAATGTAAAAGAAAATTTTCGAAAAAAAAAAACTAGAAAAATACAAGAGTTCTTATGAAAACTATGGAAACTGATAAAGACATCTTATATCTTATTTTCTTTTTCAAGTTTTTATATTATAAGAAAAAGGAAAGTTATGTGAAAAAAACATACACTTAATTATAATAAAATTAATTATTTGAATTAAAATTTTATAGCATTTCCAGATAGATTCCAATTATTTCATTTTCGTTATCGTATATAGCATAATATAGCTATGTAGAACTCTTAAAATCAAATTAAGAATTCTCGCCATAATAATTAAGAGAGTGTGTGCGTGCTATTAAAATGGAAATTTATTATTATCGAAATTGATTTTGTGTTTTTGTTTGTTCTTCTATAATTGTTGATCAAGAGTTTGTATACAAATGAAAACTCATTTTAATCGTTAAACTAATAAACATATGTATGTGTAGCTTTATAATAAATTTTGTTGAATAAATTTGATTTTTAGTATCCATCATTTTTATTTACAATATGCGAAAAGGATTTAATTGATTGGTATACCACTATGAAGGAGGATGCATACATTTACTGGAATTTGAACTAGTTCAATTTTGCTCTTCAAAAATTCAAAATCCTATAAAAATAAATAATCCTGCACTATAAATTTTCCAATTTACAAACAAACCTTTAAACTATAAAAATATTTAAGTTTTTTGACTTCAACAAAATTTGAAAAATTTAAATAACTCAGAAACGCAATGCGTGCCTACGTACTTATCATCCCTTTCTGATGCAAGTTGCATTACAAAACACTTCTCTGGGTTATACTTCAAAATATAAATATGACGATTTATCATAAATCGAGAAAATATTTAAAAAATATCAAAAATTTAAATAAATCTAAGGAACCATCAATTGGATAATTAAACCAAAAAACATTTTAATCCAAAATAAAATTTAATTTTTTTTGAATAAATTTTAAAATTTTTCAAAGTTTTAAAAATTTAGAAAAAAAATTTGAATTATAAATAAAATATTGCGTTGGCTTCATTAAACTCAACAACATCTATAAAAAAAAAATTCAAATTTATAAAAAATTTGTGAATAAATTTTTGTTCATATTTATAACAATTCCCAAGGTCATTGAAGATTTTCCATTTTCGGGTAGAAAAATTGCACTTGAAATTAAAATTTTTTTAAAGAGTTTTATTAAAAGCGATCCATGAACATGACATTTTCTGATTTATTGAAAAATAAAAATTTAAGTGTTTTTTACCCAATGTTTACGGAAATTTTTTGTTTTTTTTTTCGTCATAAATTATGGAATACAAATATGGTTTTTAAAATTTTAAAATGTTTTCATTATTCATTTAAATTTTAATTTTATAATTAATTTTAATTAATTTGTTTTGTTCTGCAATTGAAATTAAAGTTGATTATGTGGTGCGATGATTTTTTAAATATGTGATAATAACTATACTATGGAAAATTTAAATAAAAACTTACGCGTACGTACAAAATATGAATACAAAATTATGGAACATTTTAAAGTTTTGTTACATAGAAAGTATATAATCTACCATCTGACACAGAAATTATAGAAAAATTTTAATATTAAAGTATTAAAAATTGCTCAAAATTGAAAAAGATCAGGTAAAGAAGAAATTTGTAGATTGAATTGTATAGAAACTGCATTGAAATACTTTTGATTTTATAAAAATAAGGAGCGATTTTTTAAGAATTTGGGTTTTATATTCATAAAACAAAATACTAGAAAATATTTTATATAATATGTTTTCCTGTAAATGTTGACCCAGACTATTTTTTAGCTGGTCCATTCGAAAGGTTCAATTTTAAACCATTTTTTCGCCTATTTGGACAAGAATATCTTGAATTATATATTATGCAACAGATCGTCAATATGAACAATATATATCATGCGCTCACGAAGAAATTAATATTTTATGAAACATGTGTACTTTTAATTAATTTTTGTTGAATATTAATAATTTTGATTTTTGTTGAATATCAGTAATTTAATAAATATGAAATGGCATGATGAATCGGAAAAGTAAATTTAACAGTGACAAAATTTATATTAATTGTACAAATTGATTTTTTTTCTAATGTACACCTAAAATGTCTCAAAAATTAAATTTTTTCGGCACCCATGCATTTTATATAAATTCGTACTGACCGGAAATAAATTAGAAAATTCGTATTAATAATATGTTTGGATAATCATCAATTGGGACTCGTATAGAACTAAGCACTAAGGAGTATAAAGAGCAGGATAAGTTCTAATTTTTGATATTTCATTGTTTTAATTCAAAAAATCAACTTTTCTTGAATAATCTCAATATTCCTAGATTTTTCAAATAAATTTTCCTCCATAACAGTAATTTTTTCTTTTCTTCTTCTTCAAATTTTTTTTTTCAAAAATATTACTAAATTTAAAATTTAATTTGTTAAATTCAATTTAATTATTTTGCTACTAAAAATTTGAATGAATTCGAATGAATACACAAGTGTTGAAAATATTAATTACAAAATATTGCCTGCATTGTGAATTTCAATAGCATTTTAACCACAAGCATTTATAATGTAATATTTTAAGCTTGTGAATTTATAATAGAATTCATTTATACACAATGTACATTATATCTGATTTAAATATAAGAAGGCGCATTCGTATTTGTATATGTGCGTGTTAAAAAGGCTATTTTTAATTAAATTTGAATTAAATCTTAACGATTTATATTGAAATTAGTTGTACATTTAGCGGCATTTTCTTGAAAATACCAAAAAAATAAAAATGATCAAATGAGATATGAAAATTTATAGATTAACGCGGGAGGTGTAAGAGGGTAAAAAATACAACAAAAACCAAAAGAAAACAAAAATACCGCAAAAAAGCAAATATAATAAAGCGATTAATTGAACTGTGCGTTAACCTTTTTCATAAAATGATTTAAAAAGGTTAAAATTAGGTCAAAAATTATTTTTTCAAAGGCTATTCTATTAATTTTTCATTATGAAAAGAGCGCACATTTTGTTTTTTATTAAATTTATTCGAAAATTATTGAATTTTTATTTTTATTTTTTATAATTCAATTTTTCAATAGATTTTTAATTAGATTGGTTATGGTTTAAGCGTTTTGTTTTTAAATTATTGCTAATTAACCCTTATAATTTATGTAGACACTTAGATATTCAACAATATGGTATAAGCAATCATAAAGGAATTCAATGGATTTATGGTTGTATGTGTGTGTGATTGTAAACATTATTTTTTGGTGAAATATTCATGATTTTATAATTTTTATTGAATTTTTAATTTTAATTTGTGCAGGTTGAACAATTGAATTTTTTTGACTAAAAAAAAACAAAGGGAGGCAGAGAGAGAGAAAAACCGATAATTTATTGTTGGTAACAATACCGATTAAAAATTTTTTTTTTTAAATTCAAAATTTAGCAATAAATTTAAAAGAAATTTCCAAGACCACTATACTAAAATTTAGACAAAAACAAAAAAAAAAGAAATAATTATTGTGAATCATAAAATATTTTTATATGTATATATACATACATGCATATATAGTGAGTTTTTAGAAATGAACTTTTATGTCATTAAAATGCATTTTATACACGAAAAAAAAAAATAACTTCAAGGACTTTATTTACTTAATATAGCTGTTTTTATTAAGCTTTTACTTATTTTGTTATAATATGCCATATAAATTTTATATGTATATGTAAATGTATCTAGCCATCAATCAAATTTTTGGTAATACCGTAAGTCGTAACACATAATCATGTCTACGAACATATTTAAATCGAATATAAAATTTCTAATAAAAATCTTTAAGGCATATTCAAAATTAAGGTTAAAGTGGCGAATATTAGATAAATTATCTAAAGATTTTGTATGTCTTTAAAGATTTTACCGGAATTTTAAACTCATATTACGAGTATATTGTATATGCTTATATAATTAATTTTCTTAAATTTGATTCACTATATTTTTCAAGCCGTATCCCAAAATTTTCTTTATTTTCCAACCAACCATTGTTTAAAAGTTGCTTGGAAATTCATATAGATTTATTCATGTTTAACCAGAAGTTCCAGAAATCAGATTTCCTGTAAAATTTGAAATCAAAATTACAATATTATAGTAATGTAAATGAACCTATTCGTAAATTCAGTAATTTTAAGTTGAAAAACCTTAAAAGCTTTATGTAAAAATAAAATGTTGATGTTTTTCAATTTTGTTATTTTGAAAACCCTATTGTTCTTGGTTGGTTGGTTGACGTTTCCGATGTGACAGATCTTCCGTACTCCTTGAGCACCAGGTCCGTTTTCGAATCTACGATTACTTGTGGCCTCTGCAAGTCACTCGGTCGTTTTGAGAAATCCGTCTAAATGTTATTATTCTTACTTTGATATGATTTTAAGAAACACATTAGAAATTTAAATTTGTTTCAGCTTAAATAGATATACGAGTACTTTATAAAATCTGTTAGAATGATATAAATAATTGAGTTGACATCTTACCAAACTTCTTTTCCTATTATTAAATATTATATAAGATGGTCAGTTTACATATAATTTTAATTGTAAACTGCTGCCGGTTTTTGAATTTCCTTAATACTTTATATAGTTTTAAAAATGCATAGGTACTTTGAATTCTAAATTTTATACATGAACTTTATCTTAACAAGATATGACCACAAACAATATGTGACTAAGGTCAATTTAATTTGCCCACGTCTTTAAATAAAACTTGTCTGTAATACTTTTATTTGATTATTAATTCAATGTTTGCCCTTGGTAAAAAAATAACTTCTTTTTTTTTTTTTTTTAATTTTTGGTTTTTTATTTTTAATGTTCAATACATTCATTACGTATTTGGTATATAAATGTAGTGAAGACATTAAAATTTTTTTTTTGTTTTTTTTTTTTTAACTACCAAGTTACCACAGAAAAGAACCGATAAAAAAAAAAGAGTACAAGAGCAAAAAAAAAAAAAATAACAAAAAATTTTAGTTTGTTTTTTTTTTTGTTTTAAAAATTTGAAACTAAAAATTAAAAAATAAAAGGGAAAAAGCTTTGACAGTAACGGTATTTCTGCGTCTCTTTCTTATTCGATTTTTTTTTTTCTCGAAAAGCTCTCTTATACTTTTCTTTTTTCACTAAACAAACACAAAAAATTTTTTTACGTACCTACAATATTGATTGAGCGGCTATTGTCAAAACGAAACGCTGAAAACTTTAACAAGGAAATATGATAAATACCAGTATGGTCTGTGAGCGATATGAAAAGGCGTATAATTTGAATTTTGTATAATAACACAAAAAAAAACAAAGAACAACAACAACAACAACCAAAGACACAATAATTCGAACATTCGTAACATACGATTTTTGTTATTGTTTTCGTTTTTTTTTTCGTTATCTCCTTTTCTTCAAATAGTTAGTTAACTAATTTTTAAATAGTCATAACTTATATATAAAAATTTTTACACATATCTACAATACAGAGATTGTTATAAAATGTTAGTTGTTAGATGATACCAAAGAGATGCTGGTGCAACACAATCATGTTCTGTTGTTGTACTTTTTGATTTTTTTATTTTTCATAAGTAATTTGAGAGCATCGATATAAATATTTCAGATTACTCACGTGGACCGCCAGTTATTTAATAATCGTTAAATCGCGAAGTGCTCAAAAATTGATCATCTTCACTCTTAATAATAACAATTACGTTATTCGTGCTTTTTCTTACTATTTAATTTTTTTTTTTTATTTTTGTGTTAAATTTCGTTTTTTCTTATATAATCATAAAATTAATCGTTTGAATTTTGGCAAAATTATAACACAATTATTGTGAAAAAATAAGACAAAAAAAAAAACAAAAAAAAAAGACAAAAAAAAAATTATGAAATATTTTATTTTTATTATAACTTTATTTGTAAAAGATGTGATTTCACAACATAATGATCCTGGAGGATATTCATATAATATTGAAAATAATATTAGTCCAGCATTAGCATTAGGAAAAATATTAAATTCGAATTCACAACAACAACAGCAACAAACAAATATTGTACAAACATATATACAACCATCACCTCCACCACCACCTTCGCCAATAACTGATGGATATATACCACCAACACAACAATCAAATGGATTAAATTTTCCAATCAATAATATTGGATTACCAAATATAGCACAACAATTACCATCAAATCAATATATACCATCATCAACAGGTTCTAATAATCAAGGATTATTACAAAATATTAATTTGCAACAACAGCAATCAAATCAAAATTATAATGGAAATAAAAATATAATTATATCACCATTACAACTTCAACAAAATCAGCAACAACCGCAACAACAAATTCCTTTTAATTTACCTTTACAACAACAGCAACAACAATTAATTTATCAAAATAATGTAATATCACCACAATATCAAACAAATCAAAATATTCCATTAAATTTCCAAACAATTAATGGTGGCAGTAATGGTGTTATAGCACCATCATTAGGCCATCAACAGCAGCAACAACAACAACAAAATGAAAAACAAATTTATGTTCATTTACCACCACCATCACCACCACAACAATATCAAGGATATCCACAACAATTACCGCAATTACCACCAAGAAAACATTATAAAATTATATTGGTAAAATCACCAAATCCACCAACACCACCACCAGTACTTGTACCACAGCCAGTCGAAGAAAAAACTTTAGTTTATGTTCTTGTTAAAAAACCAGATCCACCTAGTCAAGAAGAATTACAAGCAATTCAACAGCAACAAATTATAAAATCATCAAAACCAGAAGTATATTTCATTAAATATAAAACAAATAAAGAGAAAGGTAATGGTGATAATGTTAAAGTTCAACCATCAAATGAAACTGGTGGATCTAGTGGTGAATCTAGTGATGTTACTGCACCTGATATTGATATAAGAGGTGGCAATGATAACGGTAAAGCAAGAACATTTCCAAATGGAATTACCGTACCACAAAATTTAATTGATAGTACAGTATCGAAACCTAAGTCACCCGCCATCTATGATACACCATTGAAAACATACAAATCATAGTTATTAATTTTTCTTTTAATCTCTTTTCAAATAAAATTATGACTGATTTTTTTTTTTTTGTTTTTAATTTTTTTTTTTATTTTTGCATTTTTATTTTTGTGAATCAGTAGAGGCGACCTGAATATTTTTTTTTTAATTTTTTTTTTTCATTTTAATTTTACCTATTTAAATTAGTTAAGTTTTTTGTTTTAAAGTAAAATAAAAAAAAAAGCATAAAAATTTATTGTTACATAATTAAAATGTTTACTTTCAATAAGAGTATCAATGAGTATAATATGTAGTATGTGTGTTGGTGCATGTGTCATAAGACCTACCGTCTTAAGTTAATTTATGCGTTAAGCTGCTGCTGCTGCTTTCACTTTTACTCATGTTATAAAATAATTTGTTTTTTTTTTCACTTTCTGCTGAATTTTTTTTATTGTTTTTGCCATGAAATTTTTCTATTATTGCTTACTTTTGATTTATTCGATTTGAGTTTTAGGTAGCATGTACATATTACATAGGATGTTCAAAGAATATTAAATTTCAAATATGATTTTTGTAATCAATGTGCAATAAATTATCATCAAGATTTGGGAAATGACGTAAAATTTGTAAAATCCTGAACTGCAAGTATCTGGGGTAAAACATTTTTAGTCAGACCGAATTCTTAACTAGTATCTCTGACATCTTAATTTAGAAGTACTATCACATATTCTGGTGTAATAAAAAAATTTATAAATTTGGAAGTTTTTCAATTATATCAATTTCATTATATTATAATACTTCACCTTTCTCAATTGTTTTATAGTAATTTGTAATGGTCAGACTGTATGCGGAGCATTTCAATTGCTCACATCGAGTTTGACACAGTCTCAGTGATGTAGCACCTACAATATTATTCTAAATTTAAATCTAAAATTTAATACCTTGTTTTAAATTAAACGTTCAATTTTATAATTTTAATATTAATTAAATAATTTCAAGGACAAGCATAAGTACACTTTCATACATAAAATCTATAAATTTTAAGCTTTTCGTATTATAAGGTACTTCAAAATTGACACATCTTATTTGGCATGTCAATATTTTTTGTAAACTAAAAGTGGTAAGCTTTAATATTAAACTATATACATAAAATTTTTGAATAAGCTTTGCGTATAATAAAAAGACGAATGGAAAAGACCTTCATAATGAATTTTAAAAATTTATGATAAATCTTTTATTGCTGTTTTGATTTTGTAGTTTTGTGGTTAAAAAATTTTTAAAATTAAAGCATGCACTGAGCTTTTGAGCTAACTTACTTTACCGACAAACAAGTGGTACTTGTAAGCCAAAGAAAACACATTTTTCATGATTGAGCTGAACCACAATGGCTCATTTCTTTTCATTTGAAGAGGCATGTGAGAGGATGCTCTTAACATAATAGCTATTTTCATTTTGAATTATTTTTGTAAAATTCGTCAACCCAAAAGCGGCCATAAGGTGTAAATAGTAGTTCTTTCGAAAATATCACACCACTATAGAAATTTCAATAATTTTTCTAATTTTGAAATTTAATTCCACCATTCCGATATATTTAAAATTATTGTTAAAAATAACAAACCTGATCAATTTTAATGAAACTAGTATTATGCAATATTTGAGGCCATATACTGTAAGTATTTTATGCGTACTGAATAAACCATTATTCATTCTAAAATAATTTATTAGCATTAACAAATTCATTTATTTATAAAACAAAATTTTGCTAACGGGAGATTTATGGTACTTTTAATTTAATATTAATTTTTGTTTGATTACATTTCACTTGCAATAAAATAGATTTTGGAATTTCGCTTTTATAATCTATCTACTTCATAGGTACTTATGTACACTGCTTGCAGTATTAAATTTCAATTGGGAACACGCAAATTTTTTTTTATTTTCTTTTGACGAGACTTGCATTAGTGTAATTGTATATTTTATATACCATAAATGCAAAAATTGAGAAAGGTATTTGATTTTATTCAATTTTAACTGAATAGAGATACCGTGTTATAATTTAAAAATTTTGAATATTCAGAAATATATATAGGTCAACAACAAATTCATTTTAATTAGTTACCTAAAATTAGTTGTAAAATAAATAACCATTTTGGAATTATACATAAATGCAAACAAAATTTATCTCTAATTTAGAAATAATTAACCTATATTGTGTTGTAAAAATTTTGAATGTTAAAATAATAACGATATAAGTGTCAATTAAAAAACAATAAACGTACATATATATTTTTATACACACTAAAACCGCTGTATTTAAAATCTTCAATGATTTTATGTATTATATATGTACGTATGTGTGTTTCAATTATATCACACATAATAATATAATTGAAATATTAGTTAAAAAGCAATTCATTTCATAAAATGAAATTCAAGTGGTTTAATTGTTGTATCATTGCCGGTAATGATTATTTAAAAAATTTGTAGAAATTTTAGAAAAAAAATGTTGCATAAATTTAGGCGAGCATAAAATTATTTTAGTTAAATTAACTGGGATTTGTATAGTAGTAGCTATGTACTATACTTATTATTGGAGAATTGGAAAGAGTTGAAAATTAACATTAAAAGCAGAGTTTATATGCAATGTTGTTAGATTCAAGAGCTCTTGCATGTTATGATAAATGAAAAATCAGAAAGGTTATAAAATTATAAATAATTCGGAACCTATATCAAATTTTTCATAATTTTTTTTTTTTTTTTGGAAAAGAAATTATCGTTTTTCCCGCTTTGAAAAGATGGAGTTGTCGTTAAATTTAAAATTTAAATTAAAAATTTAATACACCAATTTTAAAGAGTAACGTTGGAATGTGTAAGTGAATTGAGCAATAAAGATATTATATTCCACGTAACAGAAATGAAGGATTTATTTTCAAGACACCAAAAAGCACAATTAATTCGAAAATAACAAATTATTTTAATAAGTACACGTCTCTTCAAACCTCGTTGCAATTAAAAAAGAAACAAAAAGCACCAGAATTGAATTTCTCAAAATTTATTGGCTAATTGGAATAAAAGAGTTCGGGACTCGGTTTCTTTCCGGTTTTAAAAAGCATTTATTTCTAAAGGAAAAGAAATTTTTGTTTTAAATTCTGGGAAAAAAGAAATATAATACTGTTAAGTTGTTTAGCAACAAGTTTTTCTGTGTAGATCAAAGACAATTTTTTTTTTAAATTTCGACTACCTTTTCATCTCTTATAACATTAAAATTGCATTTATTTCCTGCGTATTTCCGTTCAATATTTCGAGTACATCGCATATAGTTTTTTTTTTTTTTGAAAACCTTAAAATGTTTTTGATTTTCTATTTATATTCTCAACTTCGAAAAAAAAAAATTTTTTTTATAGTAAAGTTTTGTTTACTATGTAATGCATACTCAAAAAACTTTTATTCATAAAATTTTTCATTATTAAAATAAAAATATTACAAAAATAAAAAGTAATTTTAAAACTTTTTATTCAGCACTTTTACAACTATGTATGATGAATTTTCTGTCATTAAAAATTAAAAACTTGCAATGAAAATTTTTTGAAATGTTAAATGAAATTCACGAATGTTAAATTGCTCTCAAAATAACTTTTAATAATTTTTTTTATTTGTAACAAAAATATTTCTATAATTTTCCATCTTAATGCCATGCATAGAAGAAGAAGAAGCAAAAATAATAATTATTATTGTATAATTCATTAGGATATTTTTTTTTTATTGCAAAAAAAGGACATTTTCGAATATAAATTCACTTTAAAAGTTGAATTTCCAACTAATATAACTAAAATAATTGAGTATGTATGTATGATGGTGTAGTTATACTCGTATTCTAATTTACATTACACACTATACATTTATGCGAGTATATTTAACATTCAACATTAAATATGTACACATTGCCATTTTGTAGAAGATAATTAAAATTTCAAAAACATTATATAACTACAAAGCTTTACAGTTTTTAGAGAACTTTTTATTTTTTTTTTTTTAAAAAACTAATAACAGTATTAAACACAAATGTAGAAAAAAGACAATATGGTAAATCATTTTTTAAACTTTTATAATAGAAGAAATAGTAGAAGGATATTTTAATGAGCAACATTGTGATATTATACGATGTGCATATTTACACAATTATGTACAATAAGGATAATATATGTTATGTATAGATACTTTGTAAATATAAATTAAATTTAATACATTTTCATATCTCCTTATAGTACAATTTACTTGAAAAACGTATTAGTTCTAGTTTAATATTAAAAATTGTTTTGAAAAATATTGTGGCAATTAAAATATTTAATTGTTTTTATATTAAAATTGTAATAATAATTGAAAAGTTGCTGGGGGAATATAAATTATAACTGAAATTTACCATGAATGTGATAATATGTAAATTAGAAACTAATACTAAAAAAAAATAATTTAAAAACAAAGTGGTGAAATTAAAAAGAATGGAAAGTTGGCCGTGGACATAGTGATTATTTTTATGTTATATGTTTGTCATACGATCACAGAAAAATTGTTATAAAATATGAATGAATTATTGAATTTTATTATTTAAAATAAAGTTTGTGAAAAAATTTTTCATATAGTCGAAAATTCATAACGTTCATATAAAGTTCCCTTTTAGTAATATAAGTATAATCTGTTAAAGGTATAAGAGATAAGTAAGACTTTTAATTACGTGTTCAAATTGTGACTTGAATTTTATGAAAACCAGTACTATACTTATGCAATATGTATATTATTGAGCCAGTAGAATAATTGAATTACTTATGCAAAATTTATAATTTGCTCTTCTTTCGATAATTGTTAACTTATTTTAATGTTTGTGTAAATGTGGTGTTTCCTTCCTATACATTAAATTTGATCATTATAAAGAAAAGGAAATGTTCATAAAGACAAAATTATTATACTTTTATACATACTCGTATACCACAATAAGGTCATAATTAATTAAAATAATTTAATTTAGAATCAGTAAA